AAGACTGCTGCGGGCGGGGCTGGGAGCTGGCGGCGTCCCCAGCCGCCGGGATGCAGAGCGCGCCCCAACTTCCCTGGCCGAGGCCCAGTTCCCCTGAAGTGACCCCCCTTCCCGTCCAAGAGACCTGGGCGATGCCACAGCGGGTGGGTGGATACAGGGGGTGGCGGGTATGAGCCTGCAGATCCGAGGTGAAGAAAGGCAAGCTTCCCTTTCAGAGGTCCTCGGGGTGTGACGGGGAGGAGGGGGGATCCAAGACAGGACTGAGAATTGTATAGGTCCCGGCAAGAAGGATCTCTTAACAGTTAGGATCTAGCAGACTTCCTCGGGTTACTGCTGGGGAAACTGAGGCACAGAGGAGGCAACTACTTGCCCGGTGTAGCGTAACAATTCATGGAAAGGATCTTTTGTGGACCCAGGTCTCCTGGCTCCTCCTCGGTGGGTGGAGGGGAGGGCAGGGACAGAGGCTCAGAGGGGAAGGCAGCTCCCTGGAAGTGTATATGTTCTGTCCCATGAGCACCCTGTGCCTTCCCTTTGTACAAACCAACACGATTGAAATCGCTTCTTTCAGTTTTCCCTCTCTCCCGAGTCACACAGCGTAGCCGCCGGAGAACTGGCCCTGGGTGGCTTACTGAGACGGCTGAAGTGTGGGGTGGGCAGTGGTGAGGGTGGGGTGGTCCCGGCTTCTGTTCGCTTCCAGCATTTCCCTGCCATGTGCAAATGCCAGCTCAGCGTTGCCAACGATTCCTGTTTTAAAAGAGTAGCTAGAAACGAGACGGTCTGTGCGAAATCTCCCATTACATTTAAACATTGGCAAGTTTCACAAATGTTAGAAACTGTGTGCGTGTCGGACGAGATGCGTCTATGGTTGGAAGTCTTTTTCGGGCTCCAACGTTTTGATCTGTTGATGTAAAAGTTCCACAGGGGGCAGGAGCCAGACGGGCTTTGTTCACGTTTTCAGGACCAGCCCCTAGAATGGTGTCTACTGCACCCCCAATATCAGTGACCACCCAAGGGTCAAGAGCCCCTTAATTCACTCATTAAATATTTCGGAGTAATTCCCTTGTTATGTTATGACCTAGCCCTTTTCCTCAGCCATGGGCAACATTCCACCCTAGTACTTTACAATAGGAATAACCTTGAACTTCAGTGAACCCACTCTCTCATTTTGCATTTGGGGTTCTGAGAGAGGGATTTGCCCAAAGCCACACGGTGAGTTAGTGGCAGAGCTCAGTAGAAACGTACCTTATGTTGCCAACTCTTGTCTGAGAGAGGATCAGATGATAGAAATGAGCATTTCATGTGAAATTTGGGTCAAGTTGCAAGAGAGGGCAACCAAGTTCAAAAAACAGAAAAGAATTTTTAAGGAATTCATTTTGGGGACAGAGTGTTCTTTTGAAGGCAAACATCAGTCACCTAACTGAAAATACTTTGTTTTTGTGTAATGTCTGGTAGCTTACAACACATTTTGATTACCTTTATGGCACTAGGGATGCTCTGTAAATTTGTTGTACCTGTGTTGTCTCCCACCTCCCCTCAGGAAACAATGATATGCATTTTATCACTGAGAAAACTGAAATGGCAAGAAAGTGGGCTCAGACTAGAATGGAAGTCTCTGGAATTCTCTTTCTTGTAGTGCCCTGGTTAGCACGAAGGGCTTTGGAGTCAGAAGTCTTTTGTGCAAATGCCAGCTCCACCACTGAATACCTCTGAGATGTTTGGCCAAGTCACTTTGAGGCCCTGAGCAGCCTCAGTTTTCCAATTTCGGTAGACGGGATCATGGTCACTCCTACCACGTGTGAGTGATGGAGGATTGAATGAGATGATGTAAATAATAATGCACTTAGCATGGTGTTAGCCCAGAGTAAACACTCAGAAACTGTCAACAGTTAAGGTTGTCAGTAATTGGCAGGTTTCCAGGGTCTGCCCTAGTAATTTTCAGATTTGTTCTATAAATCTTTCTGCTGTTTGTACAATCACTTTCACTTAAAATAAAAACTATTCATCAGTCCTAGTGAATTTAGCCATGTAAAGGCTTGGCATCCCATCGGTTTTATGGAGAAATAGTGATTCTTATTACTGTATCTTATGCAGTCCATCAAAGGCAGACCTGTTTCAAAGAGCTGATTGTGTTTTAATCTTTTATCTCTTTGGTTGCTCATACTCCCTTGTCAGTATTGCCTATCTTAAACAGCTTTTGGAGGAACTCTAAGGAGACCATCCCAGAGAAATTGCTCGGGAGACTAACCAGGCTAGATACTTATGACAAACTCTGGAGCCCCCCAGTGGACAGGAGAGGGAAGTGAAAAGTAAAGCAGTGAGAAAGTCTTGCCCAGATAGATAGCCAGAATTAAAAAAAAAATTCATATTGTTGCCTGTATCTATGACTTTTTTTTATTAATCCTTTCACCCTTCTCACCCAGCCCAAAAATTCATATTGTTGCCTGTTTCTATGACTCTTTTTTTTTATTAATCCTTTCACCCTTCTCACCCAGCCCCTAACCCCTCCCCTCTGACAGCTGTCAGTCTGTTCTCTTATCCATGAGTCTGTCTCCACTTTGTTTATATGGTGGTTGCCAGAGGAAGGAGGCATGGGGGAGGTAGAAGAGGTTAAAGATGGATAAATGGTGATGAAAGGAGACTTGACTTGGGGTGGTGAACACACAGGACAGTGTACAGATGACGTATTGTAGAATTATATACCTGAAACCTATATAATTTTAATAACCACAATAAATTCAATTAAGAAAAGAAATATTATGAAAGTAAATTGTTATGCAAAGAATAAATAATTCTATGTTAAGTCCAGGAGTAATAAATATGTGAAGAAATATTTGCCAGGAAACATTGTTTCCAGTGCAACCTAAAAAAGCTTAACTAGAAAAGAATCATGTCTTATAACATAAACATTAATGCCACACCAATCCAACCATGCCCACTCGTGGCTTGAAGATGTCCACTGGTTCCAATGGGTTTAGAACTAAGTGACTCCCCACTCCAGCAGACAAGGCTTTCTTTGTCTATTCCCAGCCAGTGTGTCCAACTCCATCTACAATCAGTGTTCCTGGGCTCACTCCCCTCTAGCCACACTGGCTCTCCGCTCTTTGCAGATCATGCTGGCCTTGTCCCCACCCCAGGACATTTGAATGTCTCTTCTTTATGGATGGACACAGTTCTGGAGTCTTCATCACTCAGCTGTCAGCTCACATTTCTCCAGCTCTAAGAGACCTTCCTTCAACTCCTTATCTGAAGTTACTTCCCCAACACTTCCTCCATTCTCAGTTACACACTCTCTCATCTCCCATCTTCCCACTCATCATAAACTGTCATTAATTGGCTTATGTCACTTCTTTGCTGTTTCCTACCATTGAATGCAGACCTCATGAGGGCAGGAATGACACCTCTATATATCCAGTGCTTAACCAGTGTTTGGAACATAGACAATACTTAATTAGATGACTAAATATTTGCTACTTCTATCATTCTTCTCATTTCTTTTTTTTCAATCTTTATTGTTGAGATTATTACAGATGTCCCTCTTTTTTATCCCCATTACTTATCTCCACCCAGTCCCCACCCCACCCCAGACCTTCGCCACACCATTGTCTGTGTCCATAGGTACTAGTATATGCATATAAGATCTTTGTTTAATCTCTTCCTGCCCCCCTACCCCTCTTCCCTCTGACAATTGTCAGTCTGTTCCATTTCCATGTCTCTGATTCTATTTTATTCACCAGCTTATTCTGTTCATTAGATTTCTTATTCATTTATTTTGATTTTTAGATTAAATTGTTGATAGGTATATATTTGTTGCCATTTTGTTGTTCATATTTGTTATCTTTTTCTTCTTCGTTCTCTTCTTAAAGAATACCCTTCAACATTTCATGTAATACTGGGTTGGTGGTGATGAACTCCTTTCACTTTTTCTTATCTGCAAAGTTCTTTATCTGACCTTCAATTCTAAATGATAGCTTTCCAGGGAGAGTAATCTTGGTTCAAAGAAACTTGCACATTAGAGCACTATTGTTGAGAAAAAATATTGTTAGCATCAGACAGACCTGGGTTTGTTTCCTAATCCCACCACCTGAAGTTCATGGTCTTGTGCACATCATTTCAACTCTGAGTCTTTATTTCTTGATCTGTACAGTTTGGATACTGATAGTACCTACTCTGAAGGAGTGTTGTGAGAATTAAATGAGATAATGCATGAAAGCACTCAGTACAATGCCTGGTGCAGAGGGGTACCTAATTGTCGCATTATTATTATTATTATTATTATTATTATTAGACCAAATGTCTCTCTTTTGAACAAAAAGTGTGAGAGCATCCCCATCACACTACAACCTCAACAGCGTTGACTCAAAGATCATTGCTAGGAGACATGGGTATGACACTGAATGAGATAGAGACTTTATTAAGGAGCTCTTCATCTGCTGAAAATTCAGGCAAGTTAGCTGGCAATTTCAATACAGGGTGACCAAGCCCTGATACCGGAAGTTAGGGTGTTTAGTGAGTACATACAGGAAGTCCACAGACTGATCTAGGGGTGTCAGCAAAGGTGTCCCAGAAGAATAGTATCCAAGCTCAGTCCTTAAG